TATTTATATAATTATTTCATACAAAATGTTCAGTTTATTTTTACCTATTGCCTTTGTTTTTGCATAAATGTGCCTGGACTCCAAAAATAAAGACTTAAAAAAAACCACAAAAAAAAAACAACAAAAACAACTAATGTGTATTTTTTTCCCCTGCATTTATACATAAATTTCAAAACTCAATAAGACAATTACGTCAAAGGTCTGCAGGAGATTCTTTGAGATCAGTTCTGTTATGGCCATAATTATATTTTCTTTTAACATGAATTCCTGAATAATGTGAATTTAATGTTTGTCAAGCCAAAGCTAATTTGTACTAATGCAGTGTATTATGTAAAAATGATTTTCTCATCCATCTGATGTCATTTATTAAGAGCCATGATGGTGACAATACAATAATCACTGAAAACTGAAATGTTTTCCTCAGCAAGGAACCTTACACTTTTACTGTTGAATATTTAAAAGATATTTAATAATTTCATGCATGTGCCTATCGTCTTTAAATTTGCTGTGGGGAAGTCCAGTATCCGAACACTGCAAGACCTTGTAATGTTAAGGTGGGCAACCACATGAATCTTTTTTCCTGCTCTCTAACAATTACTTAGTTTTCCATGCCGGAAAAACTATGGCTAAATGTAAGGAGTCCTACAGTTCCCTTACTGGTCCATGGGTCACGAATAAATATGATCTGGCGGACTGCCATTGTCCCAGCCGCTGCCTGCTCACAGAGCAACAATGATGCCAGCTGCTGTGCGCACTCCCCTTTTTTAACAAAGCGCACGTGCCAGGATCATGATGTCAGGAATGACAGAATAAGGCTTAGTCATCTCCCTATAATGTTTGAGAGGCATGGTTTTAGCAAATATACCCCAGCCTATAAAACAGTCCCGTTTCAAGTGAACTGTGCCTTATTGTGCTTTCTCCTTAACTCAATAGCGAGTTTACACTATACTGAATTACTGTTGCTGGCCCAGCTTTCCACTTGACTATTCTGTATTCTTGTATCCCTGGCATGGCTCTGTCTTATTGTCTATCTCATTGGTTCCCAAACCAGTCCTCGAGGCACCCCTACCAGTCCAGGATTTAGGGATTACCTAGTTGTGTCTAAGGTATTGTTATTTTTTTCTAAAAACACCTTAGACACAACTGGGTAATCCCTAAATCCTGGATAGTAGGGATGCCTTGAGGACTGGTTTGGTAACCTCTGGTCTATCTGAATTCTGGTTTCCCTTGACTCTGGCTAGTGTTAACTATTGCACTGTCTCTCTGTTAATCGTGAAGTCCAGTCACTCTGGTAACACATTTAATCACTGAGGTTATACTTTGCGTACTGGGGTATTGTACCTGTCCTTGACATTGACGTGGCAAGTAACAACCACGAGTACATATACAGAAGACTTGGGCTCTGATGTGAAGGGGAAAAAAATTGCAAACTAAATGTCTAGATGTGCCAGGCATAAATTCCCACAAGCCATTGAACTCCTGACAAACTACCAGTCAACGTTCTCAGTTCCCATCCACTGCATGGTGGGCGTGAGATTAAAAGAAAATGTGGTCATCTGAACCATATAGGCCTGATGAATGTCTCCCTTATTGTCTACAATATGTATCTTAGAGATAGAGGATAAGGTCTTGCAAATGCACTTTCTATTTTCTACAAATCCTAGTTAGTGGGGTGAAGGAGAATATATTTTATAACATGACATAAGGCTTCATATTTTGCATTAAAGGACCACTGTAGGCACCCAGACCACTTCAGCTCAATTAAGTGGTCTGGGTCCCCTTAGTTTTAACCCTGCAGCTGAAAATATAGCAGTTTCAGATAAACTGCTATGTTTACACTGCAGGGTTAATCCAGCCTCTAGTGGTAGTCTCCCTGAGTAAATCACACTTATTTGACGCTGGATTTCCTCACGGAGTCCAGTGTCAAAAAAGATCCCTATAGGAAAGCATTGAGTAATGCTTTCCTATGGACTGGATTGAATGGGCGCACAACTCTGGCAGCGCATGTGCATTTGGCTCTACTCGGAAGCTGACGTCGATGGAGGAGGAGAGGTCACTAGTGCCGAGGGAGCCCGGCGCTGGATTAAGGTAAGCAAATAAATGGTTATTTAACCATTTATTCGCTGTGGAACAGGGCCCTAGTCACCTAAACGGTGACTAGGGCTCTATAGCGTTAGGAATACATATTTGTATTCCTAACGCAATAGTATTCCTTTAACTCTCTTTACTGAACCCCAGCAGCACAGATTTAATAATTTAATGAAGTTTAAACAATAAAAAATAAAATAAATAAAAACACACAGAAATAGGGTATATAAGGCCTTCAGTACATAAGTGGCTGTGCACAGATCAGAGTTACTTGTTCTCCTATAATATTTGAGATAATTTATTAAACAAACATTTGGCTAGTTTATTCTGTCTGTATAGCTTTATATACATCTGTATGTCATTTGCTTACTAACCACCTTCCCCTTTTCCTAATACCTTTGTCAATCCTCCTGTCTTTCCCTAGTGCTGTGATCCCTGCTGCTTCACTATCAACCTGTCACTGTGATTGTGTTCTGCATTGTGGCCTATATCTGCCGGGATACGGTATTCTGTTAGCGGGGGGTGGTGGAAGCTCAGGGCGCTGCCTTCCATCTTCCCGATTTGACTGTGAAAGGTAGCCATCTTGAATCTAGTGAAAAAGATTTACAGCTGCTATTTTTTCTGTTTTTCAGATTGTGATTCCGACGATCTGCATCTGGAACCTCACCATGTACAGCCTGTTACATCCTCTCCTCCTAGAAAACATTTATCCTTCAGGTACTGGAAAGACACACACATTATATATATATATATATATATATATATACACACATACATACACACACACACACACACACACACACATATATATACCAGAAGCTTTGATTGTATGGATGGAGTGATCAACTGGAAAGGGCCATTGTATAGATTTGAGGACAGCTATGATATTAAGGTGCCTATTCCTTGCTAGTGTCTCTGGACACCTATAGTACATTTATCTGATATTACAGGGGGTGTGGGGGAAGCCCTTTGTCTATGCTGGGCTGACCCCCCCATGCTTTATGCCCCCTTTTTTATGGTACCCTTGATGACACCCCCTCCAAACAAATATTATTGTGCTGCAATTTACTACAAGTGTTGCAAAGGTGCGGCACCCCTTCACAAACCGACATCCCGACCCTTGAGCGGGCAATTCAGATAAGGGTGACCCCTTCTATGGTACCTATCCCACCTACATTGAGACGATTCAAGGGTAAACCTCCAATATTTTCGAGACTGACAGTGTATCCAATTCTACCAAGGAATACCCCCTTGTGTTACACAACCTGCTGGTACCGGTTATTACAGAGGGTGACCTCCTCTTGATTTGGCACATCTTTTATCATACCATATAATCTGGTCACAGTCTCTCACTGCTGTCCTCTCTATCAATTGACAGGCATATTCCTGATGAAAAATCTATAAGATTGGGTGAATCACCAACTCCCACACAAGACTTTCAGGCTATGATTAATGCTACCATAGCAGCATCAGTTGAGAAGGCACTTTCATTGCTTCAGACCCTACTGTCTCCTGAGGTGACATAACAGAACCTAGCTGCTAGTTTAGCCTTGGAAGAAACTGGAGGCTGCGAATCCTCCAGGGCACACAGGGCCATCTCCAAATGACACTGGAAAGGCTCCAGTCATGTCCTTCGTAGGCAAAAAGGGAATGTTCCACTCAAAAAGCCTAAATGAATAGAGGCAGCAGACTTGCCTCCTCCTTCCCCTCTGCTTTCTTCTGAAGATGAAAGCTCTCTCCCTGTCCCATCGATGGCAGTAGAGGATGAATGAAGAGCATGGAGAGCTTCAGATGGTACAGTACACACTTAAAGAAGACCGGCCGAACCCAATTCGGTGTTTCTAGACATGTACGGATTGCCCCTGTTTGACCCTCGCTCCATTAGGCATCCAAGATCATCCTACCACCTCACACAGTTTGCACACTTTTGGCTGTGCAAGTGTCAGAGTGGCGGTCCGGTGCCTGGGACCCAGACACTGTCTGGGCGGCAGTGCAAGGACCGGGACCCTGTATGCCTGATGTTCAGAGCAGGAGTCACAGTGTGAAGGTGGATTAGCAGGGTCTGGTGCTGGGTAACCGCACGCCCCCTGATGTTGAGCACCAGCGTTTGTGCAGCCACATACCAAAACCCTGATGCAGCGTTTGTGCAGCCACATACCAAAACCCTGATGCAGCGGATTCCAAGAACTAGGAGCTTGGAATTAAGCAGACCTCCCAGGAGCTGAATAGGGAGGCTCTGCAGCAAACATATAGAAGCCAGAACTGGAGCATTACAGAAAGCAGAACCCAGAACATGTACACAAGACATGAGGAAAACAAGAACAGGGCAGGACAGGACTGTACATGAACTGGGAATACATGACAAAATAAAACAAGACAAGAGATGCAAGGCAAAACAAGAGGAGCAATAACTAAGCACTATATATGAAAATCATGGGGATTTAGTCACATTATATGATCATACATTCCATAAGCCTGCCAACAACACCAATGTACCCCATATCTGACAGGTCCTACTCTGCCTACTGCAAGCTAAACCAGCTAAAGAAAACACACATAGTACTTACCTGCAAGAAAGGGCAGAATACTTGAGGAGCTGCCTGCAGGAACTCTGAAACAAAAGGAATGATGGAAAACAAACGGGTGTGGCAAATAAAACAAACATTTAAATGAATCCAAGAGACGGAATAAGATCCAGGGACGGAATAAAAGAATGAACCCAGAAACCAAGCATAAAGAAAACCAGACATAGAATAGAAAACAAGAAAAACTAAACAAGAATTGTAAAAAGAGTACTGGATACCAGAAGCCATTGCCAGAATGATCCGCAGCTAGGAACAGGATGTGACATAACTCCCCTCCGAAGGAGCGACCTCCAGACGCTCCCAACAGCTCCCAGGCAGAGACAAGGAATGGCGAGCGGATTCTGCAACGAAGTCCTCTTGACTTCCACGGAGGCAAGGATCCCCCACCGGAAAGGCCTCCTGCATAGGAACCACCAGCAACGAATGAAGATCACCACCAGAACAGGAGCACTGCCACAAAACCGGAAACAGAACCAGAACCAGGAACAAAGCATCACAAGATGACACCTGCAGAGACCACCGAACTGCTTAGCAGATCGACCCCCTCCAAGACAGGAATCAGACAGACTGAACAAGAATGAAGAAGTCATCTCCAGCAGACTGGTCCAGATACAGGAACTCTTGTATGCTGCATAATCCAGGTAGGACAGGATCAGGGCCGGATTAATATAGGGGCTGATTGAGCTGCAGCTCCAGGCCCAGGCCCAGGCCCATGGAATAGGCCCATTGATTTATAAAAAAAAAAAAATATATATATATATATATTTATTTATTTATTTTACATTTATTTTTTCACACACTACTCTTTGGGATTCTACCTGGCTTTTATTTTATTGGCACAGCCAGTATTTGAGGCTGCCTGGCTGGTGGCAATATTACAGTGATACTGGCATGGGCGTCCGCAGGAATTTTTCCAGGTGGGGGCATAATTGTAATGACATCCATGCTTGGTACCTTTTTGACAGTGTCATGAAAGGGAAGGGGCATAGCCATTATCACATAAAGCCAGGGTGAAGAGCGTTTTCACAACGATGGTGTCAGGAATATATGTTTGTATTCCTGACACTATAGTGTTCCTTTAAGCAAATTAAAGGACCATTCTGGTCACCATAACAACTTCAACTAAATGAAAATGCTATGATGCCAGGAAGCCCCTGGGTGATCGCTTTCCTTTAAGGGGTTAAATTGCTCTCAAATGGTTTAACCCCAAAGGCTTCCTCCAGCTCCAGGTCGCTCAGTGGTATTTGGCTTCTGAAACAGTGTCAGGAAGTGCAGACTGACGTCAGGCATGGGTGCCGCTGATTGGCTAGAGTGGACAGTTGACGCTCTAAGCCAATCGCTAGTTCCCGGTTCATAAAATATTTTTACTTTTTTATGAATGGGGAGCTACTGATTGGCTTAGAGTGCCAGCTGACCACTCTAGCCAATCAGCAACACCCCTACCCAATGGCACTGTGTTGCTTCCTGACACTCAGTAAATAAAAGTGAACACATTAATACTGATATTTTTTTACCTTTGGAGATGAGAAGGTCCAGCGTTTCCCTGCCTGGCCCAGGTACCAAAGCCTTATGATATGGTGTCCAAAATAAAGTGGAGGGTTCACTTAATTTGTCCTTCCTGCTCCAATCTCATTTTCCTCTCCTTCATTTGACAGTCTTTTTTTCTTCTGACACTGTTTTCTATCCTTGGCCCCTTCTGCTCTTTTACCTTTCTGCTACTTTCTGCTTATTTAGCGCCCTTCTGCTCCTTTCTCATTCTGATCCCTTTCTTTTTTTAAATTCTTTATTTTTGGCATGACAGTGCGATACAATAATGAAGAAACACATGTAGTACATGGAATAGGTAACCAATCCGTAATCCAATGTACATATGATTATATCATCGTTGCAGTTTGTGTGAGTGTGTTCAGTTTGGAAAAATGTGCTAAGGAGTGTCATTTTTCATTCATTTTCATACATACATACATTTTATGAGAGATTGTAAGTCTTATACAATAAAAGGGAAAAAGAGAAAAAAGAGAGAATAAAACATGCCATAACTGGGTATTGTAAGTACCGCAAATGTCAAGCTCTGGTTGCAGCCCACATTAGGCCGTATTATAGAAGGCAGGGGTAGGGCAGGAAGGGGGGGGGAGGAGGGAGGTGTGGGGGTCCCCGTGGCGGGGTCCGGAGCGTTGCGGTGTGAGGCTCTGTTGGTGTCTAGTTAAGTGTTGGCACTTTGGGAAGGCCCTGTAGTGGGATTTCCATAGCTCTCCCAGTTCCCTGATAACCATGGTTCCCAGACCTTTTCGTATCGTGTCATGGTGTCTCTCACTAGTGCTGTAAGGTGGTCCATGACCTGGATATCTTTGATTTTGTGGAGTACAGTGTTGATCTGTGGGATTGTAGTTTGGAGCCATGCCTGCGCCATGGTGAGTGTGGCCGCCAGTGTGATTTTGTGTAGGAGTTTCTGGTCCTTTTTAGGCCAGTCTTCTAGTGTTCTGGAGAGCAGAAAAACCCATGGGTCTGTTTTGACTTGTCTGTGAAAAACCTCACTTAGGAGGTTGCCCACTTCCCTCCAGAAGGCCTGCGCTTTCGGGCATTCCCACCACATATGGATGTACGTCCCTTTGGTTCCGCAGCCCCTCCAACACAAGTCGTTTGGGGTTTTACGCATGCTGTATAATTTTACTGGAGTAGTGTACCAGCGCAGCATGGTCTTATAGGCCTGCTCTTGGTGGGTAACGCACGCGGAAATAGCTTTGTTTGCGTCCCATATTTCTCTCCACTCTGTGCCCTCTAGAGTCTCTCCGAGGTCTGTTTCCCAGTGGACGGTGTAGGTCAAGTCGCCCCAATCACTGTTTGTGCATAAATGTGCGTATAGGTATGAAATAAGTCCCTTTGGGGGGTTTTCTTTGAGACACATTCGCTCAAAGCCCGTGGGCTCAGTATGTGCTGCCGTTTTGGCCAGATTGTGTTGTGCGAAGTCTCGGATTTGAATATAGCGAAAAAAGTCGGGGGGCCTGAGCCTGGTGCTTTCCTGCAGCTTATCAAATGTCACTATTTGGTTCCCTTCATACAGGTGGATCGCTCGCTGTAGGCCCGCCACCTCAATGTTTCTGAAGTCTCGGGCCCTCATTCCCGGTGGGAATGCTCTGTTCCTCAACAAGGGCATCAGAGGAGAGGGTGAGGTGGTTAGTTTCTATTTTTGACCCACTGCGTCCCAGATTCTAAGGGAATTGAGGATCGCCGGGCAATCGGTGCGCAGGATAACCCTGTGTTCCCTGGGAAGCCACATGTAAAATTGGGGCAGGTCCGCTCCCATGATTCCTGATTCCAAGTCAGCCCATCTGTGGTCGTCTGGTGTTGAGTGCCACTCTGATCCCTTTCTGCTCGCTCCTTGCAGACCCTTTCTGCTCCCTTTTCTACTTTACCTTTGTGCTCCTTCGGATTCTTTCGGCTCCTTTACCTTTGTGCTCCTTCCTGCTCCTTGCAGGCCCTTCCTGCTCATTCTCCTATTTTACCTTTGTGCTCCTTCTGCCCCTTCCAGCTCATTTCTGACCCTTTCTGCTCCTTCTACTTTACCTTTGTGCTGCTTTACCTTCCGGCTCCTTGCTGACCCTTCCTGTTCATTTCTGTTCCTTTGTGCTCCTTCTCCTACTTTACCTTTTGTGCTCCTTGCTGTCCCTTCCAGCTCCTTGCTGCCCCTTTCTGCTCCTTGATGTCCCTTCTCCTTTTCTTACTTTACCTTCTTGATCCTTGCTGACTCTTCATGTAGGCTGTCTCCCCCATCCCTCACTTCCACAGGCGTGCGCACGGGGTGTGTCTGGGCACACCCTAATCCCAGCGGCACGCCAATGGATTGAGACCGGCAGGGGAGATCTCTGGATCTCCCCAGTCGGCTCATGCAGAGCCGACGCTATCCAAGCAGCGGCTCTGGTCTAAGCCTCCATGGGCCGGTGGGGAGATCAAAGTTCTACCTCACCGGTCCACAGCAGCATGGAGGGAGGCAGCAGAGAACCCGGGCTAGAGTTCACTCTACACTGAACCACCAGGGAAGGCAGCAGGACTGGGATATTAACTAATCTGCCCCCACTCCACCCAAACATACAGCACACACACACCCACAGTACCTACACACAGCACACACAGCCCACAAACAGCACCCACACAAACACACAAAACCCACACACAACACCCGCACAGCACCCACACACAAACAGCACCCTGACTGTGACAGATTCATCTGCATTGTTGGTTCGTCTGTTTCCCTTTGTTCGCGGAATTGCCTGTTCATATAACCCCGTTCGTGCAATTTGCAAAATGCCGATTGAAACTACCGAACGAACGACCACCCAGGAGAGGAGTGTGCTGCTGGTTAACCTCTTGGCCCCAATTAGAACGTTGTGGTTAACCGCAGACACCTCTCCATTCCATTCGTACGGGTGGTCGTCGTTCGCATGTCGACCACGAGGCAGCGGCCATTTTGGGACATACGAACACAGAGCGGTGTTCGGTACAAACTGTATGGAACTAAAAACGGACACTTAAACTACCGAACACCGCTGAAAAGCTGCTGCCTACCTTCCTTTTCGACAAGGCATGCGAACGTCGGTCGTTCGGGAGTTTTATTCATTCGTATGGACTTTTACCCCGACAGCCCTCCCATGGAGTCATTCGTATACCGAAGGACTGGTGCAAGACTTTGACTCCATGGCGATTCGACTAGATACATCGGATCTGAGCGCTGTTCGGTGAAAACATGCCCTCAGATCCAGGCTGTCTGGGGATACGTTACACGAACCATATGCATTCGGTATTTCTGTCGTTATGTATTTTAATATATTTTTGTTACTGTAAACTAAAATGGCGATTGTCTCTACCTTGGGAGATAATTAGGTTTCTTCCTAATTATCTCCAGAGTAGAGAAGACGGATTTGTGGGTAAGATGGGAAGGGCTATTATTGAGGCCACTGCGATTGGCTACTGTACAATATGTTTTACAGTCTTCCACAAGGTCCCCTCGGGGAGTGTCCACCTTGTGGAGACCTGCATAAATACCGGGCAGGTAGCCCCATTAAACAGAACTTCATTTGACCCTCAAGACGGAGCTTGGTCTCGTTTGTGGGGGAATTATTACTGGGACAGCGCTTTCGTTATTTCTAGCTGTGGAAGGCGTTCGACTGTTTGGCTGATCGGGAGTTGCCGTGTTCGTGGACTTCGTTCGGGAGTTTGGCGATCGGCTGGATTTAAACTGCATTTCTGGAGAAGGGGATTATTGCCTAAACGGCGGCTTCATCTACCCGACGGTACGTGTCGTAACAATTGGTGGCAAGCGACGGGATGAATCCTACAGCCCAGAAGGCCAGCTACACATCCCAGGTTGGAAATGCAGTATGAGGAGTTAAGGCGTGCTACCCTTAAAGATATATTGGAGCGCAGAGGACGATCAGCGAGTAATCTCAAGAAAAGAGAGATTATTGCCATACTATTGGAAATGGATGCAGCACAGGGAGCGGGGGGAG